AAAAAATAATAAATTTATTGCTTCTACGAATGTGCTTTTGAGACGAAAGCTTTTGAGGTTGGAATTAAGAGATGTATTTATGCTAACGTAATGAAGACTTAAGAAGAGGCTCATCGTAAAAACAACAAGACTAGCTAGAAGCACTTCCATTAATCACTGAAAGTTGCTGAATCTGCCTGCTTTCTTCTTCAACCATCATCTTGAATTCCTATTTTTTAAAATCATGCCTAACACGCGCACATATATTTTCTCTTTTAATGTCACTTGAAATTTATTTTATTTTTTTTTTCTACATCCTATCCCTATTTATTTTCTAATCACGAAAAAGCTTTCCTTTCAGCGTGCATAAATAAAAATGTAAATTAATCATTTTATTATTGTAGTTCAATTTTCTCTCTGCTGGGTGCTGATTTATTTTTATTTTTTGTCAACGAAATTAATGATGTAACCACAAAAAATGAGATGATTTATGAAAATGTTTAGAATTTATAAGTCGACAAGTGGTCATTAAATTTGCTTTGTTGCTAATCGTAACTTTGTGATCTGGATTTGAGGAAAATATTTTAATGATTTGATAATATTTGCTAGAAATTGGCTCTGGTAGGATTTGAACCTACGATCTTAACATGAGAGGTTTATGAAATGTGTAGGCTAATCACACTGCTACATAGGCTTGTCGCAATAAAAGATTTTTTTGCAAAAAGCTTAATATAACAAGAGATTTTTTCCAGTGGTAGTGAATCTATAAGATTTTTGAGTCTAAAGTAAGACTCTAAGGCTCAGGTTATCAGTTCTCACATTTGCGAATGGAATTGCTGAATAATTAGTTATTACTATTATTATTGAAGCCTTAAGATAAAGACTTAAAGATCTGAATTGCAACAAAAATAACTTAAGCTTTTGCCAATCAAGTCGAACCAACAACCAAAAGTCCATTTGAACAGAAAACAAAGTTGAATATTCAATTTCTACTAATTAAAACATTACATTTTAAAATTAAATGTATATGAGATCCAGTAAAGTAAATAAGTAACATTTTTCTCAAGAATTCATCATTATAAAGTTAAGCTTCACTTCTCAAAAATTGTAATTACAATATTCTGCCGTGCATATGAAATTACACATCAACAAGCTTCACAATTTAAACAAAAAAAGCTTATTCGTCATCACTTTAAAAGCTTATTTTTCATACTGGATGTGAAAACTATCGAAATCCTCGTTGAATAGATTCTAATAGCACAAAGTTTAATATGAATATCATGTAAGTTTGTGGGATATTTCATGAAAGAAGACTTATTCTTTACAATGTAAGCAAACATAACCATAAAAGTGGTAAATGTTGAGGTTTACTTCTAAAAACTTTAATAGCAACTTAAACTTTGATATTTAAAGAATACAGATTATTATTACAACTATTAAAGTTTCTGAAGCTTCTGAAGCTTCATGTTAAGCTATAACAATTGAAGATTAATTCTAAGTTCCACAAAAGTTTCAAGTTTGCACAAATTTTCTTAAATTCTAGATCACTGAGTTTATAATCAAGAAATCAACACAAAAACAAGCTTAAGATTTACATACCTTGGGAAAATACTTTCTTCTTCCTGCACTCGACGTTAATCTTATTCCACACCGATAACTGCTTTTTTCACGATCGACCGAATAATTTTATTGCCTAAAGTTTTAAATTTATTATATTTCCAACGCCTCCTTAATGTTGTGTTTTTCTAAGAATTTTCATCACTTTCACTTTCAGACATGCTGAATGCATTCTAAATATCCTGAATTTCCATTTTTATAGACTCAAATTTTCATTTCATTATCTCTATCAGAACACTTTGAATAAATTATATTACATCCTTTTTTTTTGTCAGTCACGAGATAGGATTATGTTCACATATAAAATATTCATACAGCTGCTTTTCTCACGCGCGATCACAGCTTTTAATTAAAATTTTCATATTATTTATCAATATGACGTTCAATGGTCATCAAATTGCATCTGCAATTGGGTTTCATCAATTATTTACACTCAATTGCTTCTTTAATCACATCGCACATGAATTCATTTTCGATTTTTAATCATTATTTATGATTTTTTTATTTATGAATCATGTGCATCCCAATTTGGCAATGAAACAAAATCGATACACAAAAAACAAAACCTCACTTGCATCTGAGATAAATGGGATACTATAAAAATAAAAGATTCAATTTACACAGCACAGACAAAAAAATGCCATTATTATAATAAATTCTTTCACTTCGTCTCTTTCCTCACGAGACATCATAATTGTATTTCTTCATAAATTCGCATTTACGCTTACACTTATTGATAACATCGCACGGTACACGGAATGAAATTTTCACACGTCCTCGAATCTCTTCTCTTAAAGCAAATGTAACAACTTTTTATTTCTTATTTCCACTTCCCACCAGTATCGAGTTTCTTTTTCGTACACGGAACGAGAATCCTTTTTTTTGCTTACTTCTTCTTCTTGTTCCTCTCGATTACATTATTTTTGGTTGTAAGAAATTCTTTAAAAAAGGAATTAATGAAGAGCTTTCACGTGCTTTTAGAACTTACGTTTTATCACGACCAGCGCTCACGTAAAACTGAAAAGACGATTGAGAACTTGTGATAGGAAAAAATTGTCATTTTTTGGTCCTTACTTGAGGGCATGATATATTGTAGCTTCGCCTTATGCTCTACATAAATTTTTGGCTCTTTAGAGATGATCATTTGGTCTCGCGTGAGATGAAACTTTTCTGTGGATCATGCGCAGATGATGCTGAATGTAGATTCTATGAGATGAGAGAGTTTTTGGATGTAAGAGATGAGTTTTGTTGTTGTTGCATGCCAAAAAAGGTTTTAAAATTTAAAATCATGATTTGGGCTACTTGCTAGGTGCTGCTGATTAGGGATTAAGCTTAAATTTATTTTTTTTTTCTTGTGTGGAGCTGCGTTAATGTTGAGGATGTCTACGATTGTGTGACAACTCGCCATTACCACACCTGGCAACTCCTTCTGGCATCAACAAAAATAATAAAAACCTAGCCCAACATATAAATTTGTAATGTCAATGTTATTCACAGCTTGACTGATGTCACTAACAGTATGTATACAACGACATCATGCTGTCATCTTATGCTTTAAAGTCATATTGAATAAACAAACTTCTTCTTCATTAAGACTGAATAATCCTGCGTATCATGCGATAAGCTTATTAACTGAATATTATTTCATATGTGCTGCCAGTGAAAATATACATGACATGTAAGAACTTGATTTTTATCTTATTTTTGCGAAATGCACTAATGTACTATTGATTTCAAAGGTAAGATTGAGGCAGTTTATGTAATATTTGATTTTGACTGACCAAGCCAGAAAGCCTAATCCCATTCATATTGGATAGTGAGATTTTTATGACTTGCTTGTTGAGTTTGTGGATTATCAATATAAAAGGCCCAGCAATGTTGGATGTCATTAGCAAATGAACACTATGATATGACTAAAATGCAACACATTTGAAACCTCAACTCTATATTACACAAACAAAAGCTCCATATGAAAAACATCCAGCATGTCTACCACATGAATTGCCTTTACAACTCAAATGTGTAGTTTACGGATCAAATTTTTCAAAATAATGAAAATTCTCATAGAATTAAAAGTTTTCCTAGTTGAAAAAGTTTTGTTTGCCTTTTCATTTCCTATTTACAACAACTTTTGAGCACTGATTCAGGTCTGACATAAAACAATGTAAAAGTTTACCAGGAAAAACTCAGCTGGTACAAGACAACAATTTCTAATTGAAAATCCCATCCACATGTACAATAGATCCCATATGACAATGACACATTTGTTTGACATGACCTTTTGGAAGATTTTCTTGGAAGGCAGTTTGGTTGATTAGCAGTAATGTCTAGTGTTTTAAAAGGGGTTGAGAGACGAAAGAAATATTAGGGATTTATAGAGGAAGTTTTGCTTCAAAAATGATGGAAAAATAAATGGTTTGTGCTGAAAAGAGATCAGATACTGGATTTGAGGACTTCCCATGGTATCTTATACTAGAAATTGGTTTTGAGGATATGAATAAATTTTGACTGTGACTAGAGTGCGGTTCCCTTTATAACTATAATAACCAACTCTTGAGAGTTTTGTAAGAAAGCAAGCCACAAAATTCCAAGTTTTCTATAGACATCATTTGCATATAACCCCATAAAAATTGTTGCTCAAGTAAGAACAATTGCTAGCTACTCCAACAGCTCAATAACCTTGAAAAATAAATTATAAATGCACAATGAGCCATATTGTGAAAAACAATTTACAAAATTTAATAAAAATGTTTGCAAATTACTTTTCAAGGCATCAACAGCAAGTTGCTGTATTCAAAGCATCTTCTTTTTATTCAAATTACCTGTTTGCATCAATCTCATAACCACAACGCATATTTTATCGGAAACCACGTGATATTTATTATAATTTTCACGTGCGAGAGTTCATCTCTTGGAAATTGAGATTCAGGCTTACTTCCTCTCTGGAAAAATTCTATGTAATCATCAATGAGAAGAATCTACAAAGAGGAAAAACATAGAATCGGTCCACAAGAGAATAATTTTAAAATCATCGTTCAACTTCATTTATTTTCCGTTCCTTCTTCTTGCTTCCTTTTTTGCAGAGCTTTTTGAGTGAAACTACAAATTTTCATCCACGTGACGTGCATTCGTAACAAGATAAATTGTAAAGGCGGGAAACAGATACAAGAGAGAGAAAAAGATGAAAAATTGTATTTTGTATAGGAAATTTTAAGGTCATGGCCATTGAGTTGTGATGATGCAAGTAAGTAAGCACTCGCAATTATGAGATGTGAATGATGAGTCAATTAAAGAAAGTTTTACATCCTGTTTAAGAGAGTTTTTAGTTGATAGCAATTTATTTTGGTTCTCTTATGTTTTGCAAAAGCAAAGCATCAACAGTTTGACCTGATTAATTATTATTTTAAATTTCCAGGATTATTTGGTTGTCTACATTAGTCGATAACCAATCATTTTATATAAACTTTCCTCATTACAACATGACAGAAATCCAGCATCTTCCTTATTTATATAATCATCGAATCCTTTGAATGATAAGCACTCTAAATCTCTATCAGAGCACATACGAGGATCACGTTGACTATCACTTTTAGTATTCATAATAACAAATGCTATACTTGTGCGTGGTGTAATGACCAGTTTCCAAATAAATTTTGGCACCTCTACTCTTCGATTTTTATCGACAATATAAAGGTTTTGTCCTCTAAACGAGTAAATTTCATGTCCACCTGTGAAAATAACCAAATCTTTAGTTTTTGATTCATTTCTCACAAAGTTTTCAATTTTAAACCAAACTCCTTGATTTAATTGTTGCCATTGTGGCACGTGATTGAGATAGAAATAAGTTGCCTTTGTCCACGATTGAAAAGGATGATCAGCACTTGGGTTTATGTGCCCTTTTGACAAATAATCATTTGTAACAAGACCAATTCGCCAAAAATAATCATTCTCACTTTTCTTTGTGTATTCATCATTAATAAATGGTTGAGTTAATACAGCATTCAATCCAAACATATTTCATTGTGTAAACCTCTTGGGATCCATACTTTTATCAATGTTTCCAGCATACAAATTATGTTTAACGTAATACGTTGAATCGGTGTTGTCATTTCGACATATCGTGGTTAAATTAAGGAATCTTAAATTCGGAACTTGATATCCGATTTGATATTGTCTCCCCAGAAAAGTATTTCCATCTTTGGGTCCACAATCAGCATTTGGTCCTATTGATCGTGCATCAGGAGACTGTGAATTTGGACAATTCAGATTGTGAATAGGATTGAACATACCATCTTTGCATCTTGTGCTGAATAAAGCTGAAAAATAATTTTAAGTAAGGGGCCATTCACTTATTACGTAACGCTTTTAGGGGGAGGGGGGGGGTCTAAGATTTTGTTACGGTTCAAACAAGGAAATTTTTTTTTCATACAAATTTTGTTACGAGGGGGGGGGGGGTCTAAGAAGTCATTTTTTCGCGTTACGTAATAAGTGAACAGCCCCTAATAGATTTATCAAAAATAAAGTTTCAAACCTGTATTCGGACAATATACGTGAAGAAACTCATCATTGTCAAATTGTAACAGACCGTTTCTAGGAATCTTAAAATTTAAATTATCATTTGACGTTCCTGTTAAAAACAGCGGTTCTTTTGCTGAACTTGTCGATAATGTTGACAAATTGACTTGACAAACACTTAAGACAGCTTTAAAAGTAAAGATCTGTGATGCTATCAACACCAGAATAAATTTCTCTATAATATTCATGACAAGACTGATGAAATTCAAACATTGTGATTCTCTATTTAAATGAATACAAGACGCGATAATAAATTCTTATTAAATTGGAGTAATCATAAGGAGCGTCCTTGAAAAACAAATAAAAATTGCATCTGCATGAAATCAGTCAAAATGTTCAAAATATTGTGTGTCACATTCGCTGATAAGAGGATGCGAGTGAGCGATATGTCTTGAGAATTTTTTGTCACTCAAACCCATTTAAGTGCATCGTCCCCTGACTACAACACTGTAGACTTAAACAAGTCATAATGGGGTCGTTCACTTGGGGGGGGGGGGGGGGGGGGGTCAGCAAGAAAAGAACAATAGAAATTCCTGGAATTCCAATGTTCTTTTTTGAAAAATGACCGTTAATATCGGACGTCATAAGTGAACGATCCCTAATACAAATTGAGATTCAATTGAACTTAAAATGCTCATTAAATATTCTGGTGATAAAGCAAGTTCATACAATACTTATCACACATTCTGGAAATCTACAGCTATCTTGCAATTTTTAATCTGAACAAGTCACAAAGTAGAGCAAACAGTTCCAAGAAAATACATCAATGTAGTCATCATTTAATAGCAAATAGCAATCGTTTAAAAAATTATTGAGAGAACAAGTTTTTTTCTATTCATGCCGTCTGACATAAAAATATCGAAAAACTGGTAGGCTGAAAGCAAATATTGAAGAAAATTCTGTTCATTTGTCATCCTCAATGCCGTTCTTTTATTATTATTGAGTGGAATTTTCACAAGATAAAAAAAATATAAACATAAATGTGTCATGCATGATGAATGAATGAGTAGATAAAGGAGATAAATGTTTGTGCCATGTCTGCATCAGAATTGTTAATTTAAAATGATATAACCTGAATCCTTTAAAAGCATCACCAAAGGATTACAGTCGTCAAAAGGTATCGATAACATATGTTCGTGCAAATTCGCTGACAAAATGTCAATTTTAACTTTCTTTAATTTTGGGAATAAATCTTTTGATGACAAATTAGTGACATCAAGTGATCGAAGTTTTAATGCTTCGAGTTCTTTTAAACTTGATGACATGTACTCCATCATGTTTTGTGTCAATGAAAAGAATTCAGCTTTCTTTAATTTTGGTACAGCATCCACTAAGCATTGCATAAAGTAGAAATCATTTTCGTGATCTTGATAGCCTAATTCTTCAATCGACTTGTTGATGCTTAGAAGCTTGTGAGTAAATAACATTGAGGTTGTGTCAATATTGCCAATATTCAGACATTTCAGCTTCGGAATCTTAAAGATCAATTTCAATGTGTTAGGACATGAAACACTGTCGACTGAGAGATTCTTAAGATTTTGAAACTGATTCAATATGATATGCTTATAATCTACAATTGGCGGTAAATGGCAGTAACTGGTTGCAATAAAAGTATCAAGCTTAAAATCGACTGACATGTCTTCATCGAAAATTGAATTAATTTGCTGTGACGTCATTTCTAAATGCTTTAAATTGTTGTTGTTCTTTAAGATGGTTTTAATGGATTTTATGGCTCGTTCTTTTATACTTCCTGATATAATGGTCAATTCTTCAAGTTTCTTACAATTGGTGAAAATGTCATTAACTGATGCATTTTCAAATTCAATGTAAGCTTTCCTCAAACTTTTCAGCTTTGGGAAGTTTAAAGTCTCCAATCCAATTGCATTTTTTACGTAAAGATTATCCAGTTCCAATTCAACAACAGTATTTTGACATGATTTCAAAAGTTTGACAACATCTCCAGCTGACTTAAAGACAAGACGCTCAATTTGAACTTTCTTCCAATTTCTGCATTCTGGTTCCATAATCAGCTTGAAATCATCTATATGATGAGATTGAAATTTGATCACTACATTTTGATAACGTCTATTGCTCTCGACTAGAATATCCGACATTTCACACGTCAATCGATGCTGCCCACGTAGCCAAAATAATCTCAATTTTAATTTCTGCATTGTTTTTGAGGATGCGCCAATAATTGAATACCATGTTTTTGATACTTTCGATGCTTCCAATATTTCATTTCCTGTTAAATGTTCGAGAATTGAATCGCAAACTTCCGATGGAAAATATGTAAATGGATCCATATTTATTAAAAATATACTTGACTGATGCTTATTCAAAAAATAAAAATTTCAATTTGAAATTATTGCTGAGATATAATCTTTTTGAAACTTTGATTTTGAATGATAATGATATTGAGATGTTTATAGGAATTTATAGCACAAGTTTGATAATTTAAAGTTTTTTCATTACCTGATTGTGATTTGAGGAAGTATCAAGTTTCCATATCTAAACAGTTTGTGATTCATGCTTATAAAAATATTTTGGAGATTAAAATTAAGTTTGATAAAGGAATGGTTAAGAATCTTCCAGGTATAACATAATGACTAGAAGTTTGAGCTGTTTCCAGAAGGATTAAATAATTTGTTAAATTTAGAAAGCAAAATTTCCTGAATTTTAAGGAAACCAAAAGTGCTAATTCCACTTCTACAAACTTCCAAGCTATCAAAAATTACCTGAAGCATACTCCATACTAATAATTTAGATGCATACCTTCCTGTTTAAACCACATGCACGTTTTCACTTTCACAGCAATTAATTTCTCAATTAAAACTTTCTCTAAAATAAGCTCGTACGCTTCCTTTAATTGAAAGCATCAAGCTCTACTTATGTATATCTTCAGAAGCTGCTATTTGAGCAAAGAATTTGTTCATAGGATAAATCGTACGATAATTACATAGATATAAATTTTTATCATCATTCAATTCATCCTATAATCAACTTTTTGCTTTGATGTTCTGCCTCGAAATGCGTCAATTTGAAAACTTTTTTTAATATCTTCCATCTAGCTTGTCAGCATCAGCATCAAATGAGAAATTTTTGTTCATCCAATGAAGGAAATAAATTGTTTTAAAGTCAAATATGGAAAATAAAATTCTGAGCGTCGCATTCAAATATTTGTGTACGGTGAAAATATTCATTACATCATCATCAATGACTTCATTTATCAGAGGGAACTGTCGTGAAACAATAAAATGACATTAAGGTGAAAAGAATTCTTTTTAAATTTTATGTTCTTGTCAATAAAAATTTTAATTTATGCTGCAGATACAAAATTTAATTTGTTTTTGGGAATAAGATGAAGATGGAATTATATTTTGGTATAGGTTGGTTCTACAAGAGAGGTTTGATGATGATTTTTAGAACTCTACAAAATGAGGTGAACTTGCTGATTTCTACAAAAATGAGCTTAACTTGCTGAATACTACAAAAATGAGCTGAACTTGCTGAATTCTAAAAAACTTATCTTAACTTGCTGAATTCTACAAAAACGATCTTAAATTGCTGAATTCTACAAAAATGAGCTGAACTTGCTGAATTCTACAAAAATGATCTTAACTTGCTGAATTCTACAAAAATGAGCTTAACTTGCTGAATACTACAAAAATGAGCTGAACATTCTGAACTCTACAATAATGATCTTAAATTGCTGAATTCTACAAAAATGATCTTAAATTGCTGAATTCTACAAAAATGAGCTGAACTTGCTGAATTCTACAAAAATGATCTTAAATTGCTGAATTCTACAAAAATGATCTTAACTTGCTGAATTCTACAAAAATGAACTTAACTTGCTGAATACTACAAAAATGAGCTGAACTTTCTGAACTCTAAAAAACTTATCTTAACTTGCTGAATTCTACAAAAATGATCTTAAATTGCTGAATTCTACAAAAATGAGCTGAACTTGCTGAATTCTACAAAAATGATCTTAAATTGCTGAATTCTACAAAAATGAGCTGAGCTTGCTGAATTCTACAAAAATGATCTTAACTTGCTGAATTCTACAAAAATGATCTTAAATTGCTGAATTCTACAAAAATGAGCTGAACTTGCTGAATTCTACAAAAATGATCTTAACTTGCTGAATTCTACAAAAATGATCTTAAATTGCTGAATTCTACAAAAATGATCTTAACTTGCTGAATTCTACAAAAATGATCTTAACTTGCTGAATTCTACAAAAATGAGCTTAACTTGCTGAATACTACAAAAATGATCTTAACTTGCTGAATTCTACAAAAATGATCTTAATTTGCTGAATTCTACAAAAATGATCTTAAATTGCTGAATTCTACAAAAATGAGCTGAACTTGCTGAATTCTACAAAAATGATCTTAACTTGCTGAATTCTACAAAAATGAGCTTAACTTGCTGAATACTACAAAAATGAGCTGAACTTTCTGAACTCTACAATAATGATCTTAAATTGCTGAATTCTACAAAAATGATCTTAAATTGCTGAATTCTACAAAAATGAGCTGAACTTGCTGAATTCTACAAAAATGATCTTAAATTGCTGAATTCTACAAAAATGAGCTGAACTTGCTGAATTCTACAAAAATGATCTTAACTTGCTGAATTCTACAAAAATGAGCTTAACTTGCTGAATACTACAAAAATGAGCTGAACTTTCCGAACTCTACAATAATGATCTTAAATTGCTGAATTCTACAAAAATGATCTTAAATTGCTGAATTCTACAAAAATGAGCTGAACTTGCTGAATTCTACAAAAATGATCTTAAATTGCTGAATTCTACAAAAATGAGCTGAACTTGCTGAATTCTACAAAAATGATCTTAACTTGCTGAATTCTACAAAAATGAGCTTAACTTGCTGAATACTACAAAAATGAGCTGAACTTTCTGAACTCTACAATAATGATCTTAAATTGCTGAATTCTACAAAAATGATCTTAAATTGCTGAATTCCAAAAAAATGAGCTGAACTTGCTGAATTCTACAAAAATGATCTTAACTTGCTGAATTCTACAAAAATGAGCTTAACTTGCTGAATACTACAAAAATGAGCTGAACTTGCTGAATTCTACAAAAATGATCTTAACTTGCTGAATTCTACAAAAATGATCTTAAATTGCTGAATTCTACAAAAATGAGCTGAACTTGCTGAATACAGCAAAAATGAGCTGAACTTGCTGAATTCTACAAAAATGATCTTAACTTGCTGAACTTGCTGAACTCTACAAAAATGAACTTAACTTGCTGAATTCTACAAAAATGAACTGAACTTGCTGAATTCTACAAAAATGAACTTAACTTGCTGAATTCTACAAAAATGAGCTTAACTTGCTGAATTCTACAAAAATGATCTTAACTTGCTGAATTCTACAAAAATGAAGTGAACTTGCTCAACTCTACAAAAATGATCTTAACTTGCTGAATTCTACAAAAATGATCTTAACTTGCTGAATTCTACAAAAATGATCTTGAATAGCTGAATTCTACAAAAATGAGCTGAACTTGCTGAATTCTAAAAAACTTATCTTAACTTGCTGAATTCTACAAAAATGAGCTGAACTTGCTGAATTCTACAAAAATGATCTTAACTTGCTGAATTCTACAAAAATGAGCTTAACTTGCTGAATACTACAAAAATGAGCTGAACTTTCTGAAGTCTACAATAATGATCTTAAATTGCTGAATTCTACAAAAATGATCTTAAATTGCTGAATTCTACAAAAATGAGCTGAACTTGCTGAATTCTACAAAAATGATCTTAAATTGCTGAATTCTACAAAAATGAACTTAACTTGCTGAATTCTACAAAAATGAGCTTAACTTGCTGAATTCTACAAAAATGAGCTGAACTTGCTGAATTCTACAAAAAATAATTGAATTGAACATTGAACATATGGAATTTCCCAAACAATTTATAATTGCTGCATACAACGAACGGAAATACTTGTTTATGTAACATGTAGTCATTTATTTGAAAAATTTATAATATAATCATGAGAGTGTGTACAAAATTAATGTCAAAAAATATAAAATATGAAAATATATGTCAGGTTTAGTATCAAAATACATAAAAGCTTTCCTTTTTAAACGAACTCGACATGTTGGAGCATCGTTTTGACCTTTTCACAGTTATTCGAGTGAACTAAGGAGATTTCAGTGACTTTCTTTAAATTTAACATGATGAATTCTGCAAGTGACGCGTTAATTGATCGCAGACGGAGAGTTTTGAGGCTTGGTGATGCAGTCAACAGAATCAACAAGTTGAATAGTTCATCAGTAACATCCAATGTCCTTACATCTAAAATCTCAATTGAATTGTTTACTGGAAGTTTTGCGATATTCCAACGAAAGAATGGACTAATGAAAATGGACAGTTCCTTAATCGATGTCATTTGGTAGATGGAAAGTAAAACTTTCAATCCAAACCATTCACTTAAATGGATATTCTTCAAGCTGTGCTGTTTGTCAATAAATTGAAGGAAATTTGTAAGAATGTTAGGTGGCATGACATAGTCGATGCACGTGATTGTAAATTCCTCAAGTTGAAATTGAATTTCCGAGACATTTAATGATGCAAAGAATTTGTTGAACCATTCGCCACGCATTTCGAGTGTCTTTAATGTTTTCATGTTCTTTAAAAACTCAATTATTTCAATGTTGTACTCAGGTGTATGTTGCAATTCTAATGACACTAAATTTGATGCTGCTTTAAGGACACTTGATGTAATTTCAGCATCACAATGTGAGATTCTTAAATTCTTCAAGTTCTTCATGCCAAACTTTAAAGGCTCAGAATGTTCAGCAACAGACACACAACTCAGCACGAGATTCTTAACTGATGACTCGAAACAATCGAAGAGATTCCTTAATTCATCACATGTCTTCAGCTTAAGTCCATAAATCTCAACTGTCTTCCAGTTATTATTTGAGCATTGCAGGATGTTCTCATACACGTCAGTATAAATCTCAGTGACGTCAGATATGATGATTTTTTGAAAATTCCTTTTACTGCTACTTACGACGTCCTTAAAGTCACCGTCATTAATCCAATCACCACGGATGCTAAGGAAGTACTTCTTCATCAATACTGAGCTTGTTGTAATAGCCTCATACCATGATTTATTGACAGTTGTCAACTCTTTCAGTTCCTTTGCTGGAACATAGTCTAAAATCTCTTCGAAAATATATTGATTCAATATCATGCTTGGATCCATGTTCGAATATCGAGAAGCTATGATTATTTATTATATAAAATATAATTTGCTTTCTGCTTGATGAGAAAACTTTAATTGATAACTTTCATCATAGTATACTGAGATTTTATACTTAATCAGGTAAAACGAATTCTGAAACTTCAATTTAAATTTAGGAAACTAATGCAGTCAACGATTCTTGACATACTGAAAGTTGCTTTATTGGATTTCATTTTTCTTTACAGGCATTTTAAGTAAAATTCTTGGACATTTGCTATTGAAGACTTTTTTGTGAAACAATAAAAAGGTATGCAAATGACATTACTCGTCTTATAAAATCACACAAATCTTGATTTTTCAGTCATACTTTATAGATCCACATTCAACAGTTTTATTAATTTAATCTAATTTACACGAGTTTCTTAGCTTCAAAGAATGACTTGAGATGTTTCATTTGCCAAAGTCCCATAACAAGAAGAACTGCTGTTTGTGCCAATGACCAATACAGTACACGTTTGTTGGTGCTTTCGCTCGTTTGACGGAATCTTTCCTCGCGATAACGTTGATAATTTTGTTCTTTCGTAATTTGGTCTACTTGATCCAATAATTGACGGATTCTCAATTGAAGTTCGGTGAGTTTCTCCTTCTGTGCCACGTTAGCATAATCAATTGCATGTTCACCGACTTGGATGTCAAGATGAACTCGAAGTTGTGATCCACTAAACCAAGCTGTTGAATTTGAGTACATACAAATTACGTGCTCGCCTGGCGTGTGACTAGTGAATGAGATACGACCTAAAAGTTACATTTTGGATGTTAATACATGTTTAATCACTGATAAAATCTGTTATTCACCTTCAGCGCTGTAAACTCTAGATAAAAGCATTTTGTCATCTGGATCCTTGACTTCTACATGCATACCAATGCCAGGTGATGAAGGCATGAATCCACCAGATCGTGGATCATATAATTCAACCTTATAATTAACAATTACTGACCGGAAGAAAAGAAAGTTTGTTTTAAGGAACAAAAATTTTTTGGTGAATTTTTATGGAAAATCATTTACCCGTTGTTTCATCAGGAATTTCTTCAATAAAACACTTCCTTTCTGTCTCACCAATATGGAAGTAAAGTCCATTACAACTTACGACTATGAAAAAGATTAGAAACACTGCTTTTTGAAGCATTTTTATAAAATATTATGAATTTTTTTCCGACTTTAATGACGTTTACAGATCAATTCCACACAAAAATTACGTCATTCAAATTTATTTTCACCGTTAAATTAAATCTGCTATAAACTGCTGTAAAATTGATTCATTGTAAACAAAAGTCATACATTTGAGAAAAATTAGTTAAATTAAAGGAATAGTGGATTGTCAATTGGTGAGATTAATTAAAAAGCATCAATTGTATCTTGATATATATTATAAACATAATTGCAGCACAGCAAAGATGACAGATCCTCTCAAATTATTCTCAGAAATAACTTGTGAAAAAATATTTTCATATTTATCAGTAGCAGACCTGCTTAATTGTTCATTAGTCAACAAGAATTACTATGAATTCATTGCCAAAACACCAAGCTTTATGAGACGACTGAAGATTAGCTTAACATTACACAACACTTTACTTTCTGATGACTTCCAAAATTTGAGCATCTTAAATGAATCACAAAGGCAGTATCAACATTTTGAGAGCTTCAACTTGTCAATTGACTTCAACAGTGTCTATGTTTTAAGAAAGAAATTAAAAAGCATTAAAATGAGGAGAGTATTACTGCATGACGAAAGCGAATTGAAAATATTTTTCAGTGGAATCGAGGAAACTATTGAGGAACTGATCCTTGAACGATATATTGACAATCTGGAATTAAAAGTTAGTGATAATCCTGCTATTTCCTGTTCATTCCCAAAATTAAAGCATTTAGAACTTCATTATATTCCAAATTTTATATTTAAATACTTTACGACCTGTAAAAATCTTACGGAACTAAAAATAACAGGAAAGCGAGATGTCAATTTCTATAACATTTTGCGACATAATCCTCAATTAAAGAAATTAGCAATTGTAACTGATGAGATTGATAATTATTTTGATGAAGACGTGACCAAATTCATTCAGTGCAAGTTGACATATTTTGAGGCACGTGATATTTACAATTTAACGGCTAGATGTATCGAAAATTTTGAGTTATTATTAGAGAAGCAAATAAATTACCTAGAAGAGATTGACCTGGGAGATTGGATAGCTGTCGATATAGTCAAAATGATATTTCACATGCCACGATTAAAGAAGCTGACATTTAAAGGATTTCACAATGTTGAGGAACACGTTAGAATGAATGAGATTGATTTCCACAGAAGCCAGTCAATTACAACTCTTAACTTGATCGATACATTCTCAAAACCTGCTATTTTGCAAGCATTTATTCAAGCATGTCCAAACGTCACTCGCCTTAAACTTTATTCATTGAAAAAGGAATCTTTAAGTTATTTAACTCAAGCGCTTCCAAATCTACAAGTATTGTCTGTAGATCTATTAGAGATTAAGGAATTCAATAATGAATGTGATTTTGTGTATCTAAAAGAATTTAAAATGAAGGTTTATCATCGAGGACTGCAATTTTCTGAAGCTTTAAATAATAACTTTGAGAATTTAGTCAAAAAGGAAGTGGAGAGTCTTGAGAATATGAATAAAGTTACTTTTGTTAACTGATTTGTGTACTGAACGATAAGGTATGTATTTATTTTGGTTTATAATGTGATAAATTGCAATAAATAGGAACTAAAATATAACGTTTCTAATAAGTATTGTCTGAACATCCTGAAGAAAACATCTTTGTTCTAAGTCATCAATCAGACATGACTACAACCAATAAGAAGACATATCAATTGACAAAACATTCCATGATTCTTAAGTTAATGTGATTCAAAAATAACTCGAAAATCTCATAACGGTCGCAAAAAATATAAAGTTTTGAGCATCAGATTCCATGTATATAATTTCCACAGATATAGCAGTTCCTTTATAGAAATTTGATTCTTTAAAAAGTTAATTAATTAAAAATATTTGGTTTTCGCTATTGTAATTGCATAGAAAAATCAATCATTTGATTGGTACAACGGAATATTACAAGGAACTTTTAAAAGTGTACAAAAAAGAGCAGCTCATTCTCAAGGAAATACTAAAATAATAACATAAAAAAAGTGAAAAATGATCAGCTAAGATAATTTCTAATCAAAACAAACAAATGCTCCACATTTCGCCATCATTTACCGAAAAATCTTACCATTCGGACCTGAAGATGAATCACATCAACATTTTACAAGCAGAAAGTAAGCAACAGAAGCAAAATAATTCAAAAAGTACATCCGGAAGTAGTTCGAATGCCAACAATAATAATAATGGAGTTGTGTATGTTGATTTGGGAAAAGTTCTTTTGGAAGCAGCTAAAATGGGTGATGCTGAAAAGGTACAGGAATGCATTAAAAATGGAGCGCCTTTTATTACTGACTGGGTAATTTTGACTGATATAAAATTTAAACATTTTTTATCAAAAATTTCGTATATATTTTGTAGCTGGGAACTTCAGCCTTGCACGTAGCAGCAAAGAATAATTTTTATGACACATGTGCCACTCTTTTACGTTCGGGTATTTCAAAAGATGCAAAGACTAAGGTCGATAGGACACCTTTACATTTCGCAGTATTCGAAGGGAATTTTGAGATTTGTCAGTTACTAATTCAGCATGAATGCTCAATTGATCCACTTGATATGGTAAGACTCGTCTAGCACATCCACTTTGACCCCAATTTCAAGCAAATTGTCTCATTTTTTTAGCTAAAAATGACACCGTTACATTGGGCTATTGAGAAAAGTTATGACAATATTGCAGAGCTTTTAATTGAGAATGGTGCAAATCCTCACGTCATGTCAAAATTCCTTAAAACGCCATATATGCTTGCAAAAGAGAAGAATAATGATTTCATTGTAAATTTATTAGAAATGCTGCCCACAACTCCATTATCATCCTCAAGTCATTTTGACTCATCGAGTGTTTTTGTTAAAACTCCAACACTCACAACACCAGCTAAAATTAAGGACGAACCAGTATCATCATTAAGTGACGTGCCACAAAAGTCAACTCTTAAAAGAGAACGCTTTCATTCTTATGACTCGGCTGATACGAAACGATTAAAAGCATCTCAAAATGATGCAAAAAATCTTACGTTGCAATTATTAAAGGAACAAATGAGTATGATGACGTCAAATGCCGAGGACAATTTAATACAGTCAGCAATACAAAGTGGACGAAAGATTATGTTAACGGAAGCAGGAAAAAAGTTGTTAAACGACTCGAGCCTCAATAAATTTTTAAAAATTCCATTAAACACGACAATATCATCAGCACCAACCTCATCGCTCAATCTGTCCAATAAATTATCTCCATTGCCATCACCATCATCGTCGATGACGAGAAGATCGACAGGTGGTGATAATTCAGATGTACTGGAAATTTTCAGAGAAACAAGTGCAAAACTGCAACAGCAGCAAAATGTGAAAACAAATACAGATATTTTGAACATAATCAGAACAACAAATGATCTACAAGAGGTCACAATAACACAGCGATCATCAAAATTATCGCCTGTATCACCAATACAAAAAACTGGTGTAAGCCTTTCTGCCATAAATGTGCCAAAAGCGAAAGCTCAAAATTTGACTAAAACAAATTTAATGAAAACAAATCAGTTGCCTTCGACGACGGATATCGTAAATAGTTCCGACTTCCGTTCAAAATGTCAAAATATTAGTAATAATAATAATAATAATAACAATAATAATTTTAACAATACTAATAATAATATTAATAGTTGTACGGATGACGATTTCTCCAAGCCGGAAATCATTCAACGGAAGTATTCGGAATTATTTAACAACTATCAGCAATTGAAGAAATCATTTGAGAGGGAGCAACAGAAAAGTGATGTACTGCAAAGGCAATTAACGCAATTGCAATCAAACTTTGAATCGTACAAGCGTCAACAGCAGTTGAAATTTGATTCCATATTACAAGTACTATTACAAAAATTTGATAATACTAGCGGTGAAAGAAACATATTTAAGTATAATTTTATTAACAATACTGATAACAATGACGATGCAGAAGAAGTCCTGTGATTCATGATGTATCTATTCAGGGTTGGAAGGCTGCGAATGACAGCACAAATAAACATGTTGATCATTCGCAGTTATCATATCCTGTATCTATCGATTGTTTTTATTGTATATATCATTAGTATCAATGATAACATTTTCTTTTTTCAAATAATGATGATGACGACGAAAAATGACTATATATTTTTCTATATTGCAACTTTTCTCAAACAAAATTTGCCTGAGAAATTAAATAAATTAGTTTTAGTCTAATTAACAAGTTTCATGATGTTGGTATATTTTTTTGCAATTTTCAGCCTTTTCTGCTACAGAATTGAAGATTTGTTAAGTTTTGAGACGAATAAATGTCAAGTTTTAAGTTTTGGTCAAAGTTATCGCTTAATTCAAGCTTTCTATTTAAGAATATAAAAAAAAGCTTTTAGCAATTGTTGATTTCTTGGAATTGAGTCTGCTAATTACTTTAGCTACTTATCTGAATATTACTTTTAATTTGAGCTGTTTCTGGTCATTACCGTCGATATTCCATTAGAAAGTAATCTTAAAGCTATTGATTTGATTTTGAATTCTGAAATTAAAGTTGATTTACTGTTCTTCAACCTAAGAGCTTAGCATTCATTTTGTATATTAATCAGTCGAAGGATCTTAAACTTCTGAAACAGTGCAAATTGAGAATGACAGAATTTGATTTAAGATCAAACCTAGAAGAGTTTACTTGATTCTAAAGTCAATTCACTTGTTTTAGCTAACCGACTGATCGTGTTCCTGAAAACTATTAAAAGACAAATTTCGATTATTTTTTGCTCAAATTTTTCTTTTTGATGAAATTGCAATGTTCATTTTTATTTAACTAAATGATAAGTATGCATTCATTTTAATTGTATGATGACAGTAGTAAATATTAATGACGATGATTTATTAGTTTTTTTAATAAAAAATTTTCATCCTTTTTTCTTTCAAATTTACAAAATAACTTAAATATTATATTTTTAAAAAAACTTTCTCAATATTAATATCAAAAGAAATTTAGACAAAAAAAAATCTTTGACAATTGAATCAAGACAAAAAAAATATATTTTTATAAAAATATGCAAATTATAAAATCTTCCATGACTTTAAATTAATTTTCATTCCATATTTTTTTTTGTTTTTCAGTCTTTTATACACAAAAGATATATTTTTTAATGAATACGAATGCAGTAAGTAATAAAAATATAAGAAGAAAGAATTAAAAGGTGAAATTTCTTTTTGGCCAAAAATCGTTTTTTTTCTCATCTTAATAATATAATATTCATTTCAAAGAACTGGACGGGTTGGTGTTGAATGTTTCGATGACTTTACATTTTATTCTGCTTAAAAACTGGTTTTTGGATTTAAAAATCTTCACAAGTTTTTCTCGGTAAAATCAAAGTCGTGTACAACTTACGACTTTTGACACCTATCACGTATGTCAAGACATAGGGTAGTCTTGTTAAATTCCATAGTGGTGTACTTTACACGACTTTGTTCACAAACAAAAGAAAATCATCGAAAATTCAACTTCAACAACAGTTCCAGTTCCAATCATATAATAATCTCTTCCAATCTTTGCATTTAACTCGTTTCTATATAATTTCTTTATATCTTTTCCTTATCATTCCTAAAATTATAGAATTTATAGCAATAAAGATAACCGAAAGAGGTGAAAACCATCAAAAATGCCACGAACGTCTTCAAAAGAAGTCCAAACATTTCAAATTTTCTTTCCTTTCTAACGATTCCAATTTAGCGTGCGAGAAGGACACATTAAGCGAAAGAAAAGGAAGTTTAAATTTTTGCATCTTTTAGAGCTTCAACTTTACTACTTCCTTTACTTTTTTTTCGTAATTTTCTTTTTTATTTAACTTTTAACTCAAAGCGACGAAAAAAATGAAATTTATGCGAAATATTTTTTTTACATGGACGCAATTGAATCGATTATTAATTAACCAATTATTTTATATAATGTCATTTTTTTACGGAAGATCTTCAAATTTATGATACAATTATGAAATTTTTATCTACCAATAAGAATCTTTTTTTTTTCCTTATATGAAGCTGAATTTTTATGATGCAATTCTGAGTATTGAAAATGGAAATGAATTCTTTTATTTAAATCTCTTGGGTTGAAGATTGATTTCTAGTTGATGTGGGTCATTTAAAGCTGTTTACTGATGCTTTTTAACATTGAATTTCTTTAAAAATGTCCAAATTCATTGATTTTTAAATCATTTTTGAACAAATTTGAAGATTTTTGAATCAATTTCGAGCAAATTTAAAGATTCTCGAATCAATTTCAAAGATTTTTGAATCAATTTCGAACAAATTCAAAGATTTTTGAATCAATTTCGAACAAATTCAAAGATTCTCGAATCAATTTCGAACAAATTCAAAGATTTTCGAATCAATTTCGAACAAATTCAAAGATTTTTGAATCAATTTCGAACAAATTTAAAGATTCTCGAGTCAATTTCGAACAAAATTGAAGATTTTTGCATTAACTTCGAACAAATTCAAAGATTTTTGAATCAATTTCGAGCAAATTTAAAGATTCTCGAATCAATTTTGAACAAATTCTTGACAAATTAAAAGATTTTTGAATCAATTTCGAACAAATTCTTGGAACAAATTCAAAGATTTTTGAATCAATTTCGAACAAATTCAAAGATTTTTGAATCAATTTTGAACAAATTTAAAGATTCTCGAATCAATTTCGAACAAATTCTTGACAAATTCAAAGATTTTTGAATCAATTTCGAACAAATTCAAAGATTTTTGAATCAATTTCGAACAAATTTAAAGATTCTCGAATCAATTTGGAACAAATTCAAAGATTTTTGAATCAATTTCGAACAAATTCAAAGATTTTTGAATCAATTTCGAACAAATTTAAAGATTCTCGAATCAATTTCGAACAAATTCTTGACAAATTAAAAGATTTTTGAATAAATTTCGAACAAATTCAAAGATTTTTGAATCAATTTCGAACAAATTCAAAGATTCTCGAATCAATTTTGAACAAATTCAAAGATTTTCGAATACATTTCGAACAAATTCAAAGATTTTCGAATCAATTTCGAACAAATTCAAAGATTTTTGAATCAATTTCGAGCAAATTTAAAGAATCTCGATTTAATTTCAAAAAATTCAAAGATTTTTGAATCAATTTCGAACAAATTTAAAGATTTTCGAATCAATTTCGAACAAATTCAAAGATTTTTGAATCAATTTTGAACAAATTTAAAGATTTTCGAATCAATTTCGAACAAATTTAAAGATTTTTGAATCAATTTCGAACAAATTTAAAGATTCTCGAATCAATTTCGAACAAATTTAAAGATTTTTGAATCAATTTCGAACAAATTTAAAGATTTTTGAATCAATTTCGAACAAATTTAAAGATTCTCGAATCAATTTCGAACAAATTCAAAGATTTTCGAATCAATTTCGAACAAATTCAAAGATTTTTGAATCAATTTCGAACAAATTTAAAGATTTTCGAATCAATCTATTATGCGAGTAAATGGATAGTTTATGAAATCTTTTTGAATAATAAGCTTAATCTTCTTAAAAGCATCATTAACAGCAAGCTCAATATAACCCACTTCATCAAAAATTAATCTCTTCCCACCGAGACATGACTTTACTGATTTCATTGAATGTTATTTAATTATCTATTACTTTTTAATAATTAATTAATCACAACATCGAAGAGTTTTTTTAATAATCCTTCTCATTTTTTTTTTCATTTCGTTCATATTAAAAAATCTAATTCATTTTTTGCTTATAAATTGCGAAAAAAATGTCCTTTTTTAATTAGAATAATACAAGTATATAAGATAATATCATTTAATATATATAATGGTATATAAAGATGACATAAAAGATTAAAGTAGGATCAAGTATTTAATGTTAAATTTATTTACAACATGTCAACATGAAACGGGATTTCTTCCATTACAAAAAAACACGGTAATGGTTTGGAAGAATTAAAAAAAATTAGAAAAGCTCATTCTTAATTAATTTTTTTCTGTTTTATGCGAGAAAGAGAGAGAAAAACACTTAATTATATTTAATCGTTTTTAAAAAAAAATTCTCTGTTTCCACAATGACGTTATATCCTAAAAAACACTTTTGCTTAAAAATTACGCAAAAAATTCTTGCATTGATTTTGCTTTTTTTTAACATATTTTTTTTCATTTCTTTTATTTCCATCATCCTTCTTTTCATGCATGAAGAATGATTGGAAATTTTAAAATAATTTATGATGAGTAAGTTTTTATCATTTATTTTAATGGATTTTTCATCAGGTCCTTTTTCTTGGTTGGGTTCATTTTTTTCTGGTCAACGCTTTATAAAAAACTTTTTTATTTTTTCTTCAACTAAGTAGAGGAAATTAAGGAGGAGAGGATGAAGGTTGTTGTTGCTTATTTTTGGGTCGGTTGCACAAAAGTTAATTTCCTCGTTATGGAAGTTTTAATGCTTGTCTTAATTTATTAAATTCTTGAGCATCAGTTGGATTAGCATTTGATGCTGTCAAAAAATTAATTCATTAATGGTCTTTATATTTTAAAGGATGAAGTCTCGAACTGTCAAAATTGAAAGTTTAACAGTACTTCAAAATTTCAGTTTTTAAAGACTTTTTGAAATTTAAATTCTATCGACTTCTTTATTTTCAAATTTTAAAGGTTCTCAAAAGTTCAAATTTGACCAGTTTTTTGGATTTAAATTTCAATTAAGCTTTCATTTGAATTTTTAAAGTCCGTTAATATTTTAAATATAAAAAATCCGTTAAATATCAAATTTTTAAAGACCTTTTTCAGATCGTTTATTATCTTATAGACCCTTAAGTGCAACAAATGTCAAAAACTATCCACAAGTTCACTACAATTTTTGTTTGTTTTTTGATTTCATTTCTTATCAGAACAGAAGCTACCTACATGAGAGATTTGATTCATCATTTTATTATACTAAGGCATCTTCAACCTTTAAATTGTTGTTTCATTTTTAAAAATCCCGAATGATTTGTTTATTACACCTGATTTAATGTATTTTTTCTCATTTATTTGAATATAAAAAATGAGATATTTTGACTCTGAACGGAATCATCAGCGTGTCTTTGAGAGACCAGACACTTTACTTTTTTTTAATCATAAATAAAAAATGTAAAGATATACACACCAAAAATTATATACCTAATAATAAGGAGATATGAACGAATTTTTTCCTGTTAAAAAATTTACAATACAAAAAGCTTTTTGTACTTTTTTTTCATATCAAATAAATTATTTCCTCTCTTTTTTTTAAACATTCGTTCTACCGACAAAAAAAAATTGATTGAAATGGAAGAGATTGTAAATACAAATAAATCAAAAAAAACATTAATTAATATCATATCTATACTTTTCACAGAATGCCGTTGGTAAGATATTGATAGCCATCATATAGTTTAGTGGATAATGAGTTGAGTGAATCTTGAATGAGTTGTTCAACTTTTCGTTCTAGTTCCTGCTCGGTGTGATTCATATGAAAGCGTTTTCTTAGGTTTTGGACGGTGGCTGAGCAACCATTTCTAAAGCATGGTAATTGTGTACCTGAAGATAAAATAGATGGTAAATATTAATAAAATTGAATTTTCTATAATTTAACGGGTTTTTAAAATTTGAAAATCTAACGATTTTTTGATATTTGAAAACTTAACGAAAGAATTTCAAATTCCAGAAATCCGTTAAAAATTTAAATGTCAAAAAGCAGATACTTACTACTTCGCATAATTTCAACAATATTAACAATTCTATCTTGATGCTTCCTCGCTGCTTTCAGACCAGCAATCAATAATCGTCTGAATTCATCAAAAAGCTCCGACTCGTGTCCATCCATAACTTCAACAAATTCTGGTGTAAGCTTAAATGGAGATTGCTCAAATCCTACATAAAGATCAAGACATAAAAGATAATATCATTAGATTCTATTCTCGTCTAATGCTCTCTCAAGTGAAAGTGAAAAGATAGCATAAAAAAGTATATAATATGCTTGTGGTGTATACCTAAATTCTTTGGAGAAATGCTCAAGATGAATCCAAAATCAATATGTATGATGTGGCCATCAGAATGAAGTAGAATGTTTCCATTGTGCCTAGAGGAATTGGATATAAATCAACATATTAATATTTCAGTGTCTAAAATTCAATTTCTTACGAAAAAAAAAACTCACCTATCTTTAACCTGAAGTAAATAGCAGATAAGGCTGTAAGCAGCGCACGATTGCATGAAATTTCGTTGTGCCATTTTAAAATTATCTGTCATCTCTCCGCCATATTCATCAATAAAATATTCACGTAAGCTTTTATTTGAATTCTTCTTAATTTGATGAAGCGAAACAGTATTTAAGATTGGCTCGATAAGACCGCTGTCATTTGATAAGCATACAATCTTGTATGGTTGCACCCATAAGCCAATATTTTCTTCACTCCAAATCAGACTGAACATCTGTACGTGTGCATGAGAAAAAGGAAAAGAATAGGAAAATTTGAAGCATAAATATTGGGTTATTCCATAATTCGTATCCTTTGTGAATCTTTAATGAGCTTTGGATACAATAATGTCATTCGGATCACATAAAGATTGTGTAAGACACGAGGCAAGTAAGGAATGTATCTTAATTTTTAACAGCATTTTAAAATTCAAAATTTAACGGTTTTTTGAAATTTAAAAACTTTTAACGAAACTTTATTTGAATTTTTAAAAATCGTTAAATTTTGAATTTTTAAAATTCTGTTTAAAAAGTCTTACTTCATGATGCAATCCAGCCTACATTATCATAAAATGATTTACAAGGCAAAAAGAGAAAACAAACCTGTAAAAGTTGTACTGCCATAAGCTCTTGCCGCAAGTCATCGCCCGATTTAACAATAGCTGATAAAAGCTTCCAACTTTGAAGATGTCCATATGGCGATGATTCACGTATTTGCCGCTCTTTTTCATCCCATGGTTCCTAGAGAACATAAATTTGAATCATGAGTCATTGAACTAAAATTAAAATAAATTTATAGCTTATTACTTTTAAAGCAGCAGCAGATGGGTCGTCTGGATCGTTTCTGAATGGTTTGGTATTTTCAGCATTTAAATTTCGACAATGACGATTTCGCACATCGGCAATATTAAATAATTGTGGAATATCTAGTTGTGGGAGAGTGTAAGAATTAAATGTTTTGCAATAAAAGGTATGAAATAATAAATAGACTTACTCATATCTCTGGTTGTTGAGTCACAAGATTCCATAGAAAATTGCGAAACTGTATCACGATCATATTTTTTGTGCTGCGACATTCTGAGGTATTGAGCAGTAATTTCATCGTCCTCCTGCGACCATACTTCATCGTCATTAAATACTTCAAGATTTGAATTTATTCTTGGTAACAAATACTTTGCTAGCACATCCTTCTTGACAATTCCATCCTGATTATCAATATCGTCTTCGATAAGCTGATCAAGATGCTCGTCACTTCTCGTATGTCTTAATGTCGGCATCATTTTGGGTATTACAGGACTTGTATAAATATCAGCAACTTCGACAACCTCAACGTAAATAATGTAAGGTGTCTTATCTTTCGAGTTGAGTACGGCTGTCTTATCCTCTGTAATCCTCACAACATGATGCGGTACATCGGAATAAATTGGAAGCCACACGCGTGATGGAAGATTCTTATTTATTAAATTCAATAGGACACGTAAACGACTCGTCTTTTCGATTTTCGTTGGAAGTGATGTGAGTGTCTTTCCAATATCAATAAGACTCTTCATAAATGCTCGTTCGCAAGCTAACTTTGGTGCACCGCATGAGCAGAATGTCTGTTGTCCAAGTAAATCGTTAACAGCGCCACGCTGACTCTCAAAACATACACATCCATTATCAAATGCACGTCCACTGCCTAAATCACCGAGTGATAAATTAATAGATGGAATTGTTGGCTTTTTAAATTGCTCAAGCATTCCAGTCGCATCCGATTGCGAGCGATGATGTGTCTTCTTAAATGGTGATGTTGGTGATATTAATTCAGACGTAATCTGTCTTGTATTCTTCTTATCACGTTTTGGATATAATTCACGCATTAGGGATAAGTGTCGAAATTTTTGTGTAGTTGAGGTAATTCCGTCCATATTAAAGTCATAAGCTTCGAGTAGCCAACTACATTTGAGACTAAAGTCAGCTGATTGACGGCATCTATAGACCAAATATGGATCAAGGACTTCTGCCAATTCCTCTATTTGCATGTATATTAATATTAATTGCGGAATGTAAAGATCAACTTCAGCATGTGGGAAGCTAAAGATTTTATTGCCAATGAATGAGAGTACGCCTGGCTCTTTACTATAAAAGAGATAATGAATTGCGAAGTGAATGTTGAAGACAGATGATTCGAAAAATCTTAATAGACCACTTTGCCCACGTTCGGTAATGATTTGCGGTTCCATAATTGATTCTCTGATCATACATGCAATGCCTGGCACTTTCATTGTATTAAGTGAGCTTGTTGATGATGATTTACTCATTCCTTTTGACTTATCGACAAGCTGCAGTGATGTAGATGTAGTTGTGGCGATTTCAGCACTTACACTAGTCGTCATTGTTGACTGTTGCTGATTCCTCGAACGTGATTTCAATAAAAAATCTCTCTTCTTTGATGGTTGTTGTGACTGAATTGTTGTATCATTAGAACTTGTTGGTGCTGTCAATTGATCTTTATTTTTATTGGCATTCTTCTTCTCGTGATTCTCAATGATACTTTGAGCTGTACGGAATATTGCATTCTTAAAGAAAAAGTTCTTAAACATTGGATCTTTGGGATCCTTTACAGCTGGATTCTCTTTCAATATTTGCTCTTTATTATTACTCTCTTCCTTTATATCATTCTCGATGACTGTCGTATTTGATGTCGTCGTTTCCGATTCCGTACTCTTATCCTCCTCTTCAAATTCTATTGGCACAAAAATTGTTTGTTGGTACTTTTCCTTTAAAATGGCAACTTTATTCATATTCAGTTCACGATATCGCATTTTCTTATCACTAATGGCATCAAATTGATCTTCCACAACGCCTGTATTACTAGATGTATGTCCTTCGTCATCCTTTTTCTTGTTTATATTCGTTGCTGGCTGATAGAAGCACAAGTCAGACTGAAGTTCGCGATAATCTTCGTCCATTGATGTTGTCTCAACTAGCTCTATACACTCTTCGTTTTCTGAATTATCGTTCTCTCCGGAATCAAGTGATTCTCGTGAACGTCTGTTATTTAATGATCTCTGATCTGCTTCTTCTGATCCACACAAGATTCCTAAATGAGAATTATTATTAATTATAGTTTTTAAAAGCATTAAATTCAGGTATCTTACCGGAATCATCAGATCCAAGACTCGTTAAATCTTCGCGCTTCTTACTCTCACTGTCCTTGCAAGCCATAATTTGATGATTTTGCTTCCGTGTGACAGTATTGCAATTTTTTATTATTGTTTGATTATTACTCGACACGTCGTCTGCGGCTGTTTTGACTTTTTCTGAAGGAGGTGTGTCTATAAACAATTGAAAGTCACAATCTTTATTTTGATTTTCCACAATTGCAGTCTATTCTATTTGACTTTGAACTTCTTATAGGAAGTAATGATACAGTGACTTTTGAGTTAAGTTTTATTTATATCTTGGCTGGATTTTTATATTTTCCAGTTTTTTTTTCTGTATTTTTTAAGGGTTCGCCCACGTGCGCATCCATGCGCATACATGCAAATTTCGCATGCATGCCCATGTACTGCATGTAAATTTTTTAAAACAAATTTTACAAAATTAATTTTTTCATTTAATTTTATTCCTTTTATCATATTTATCAAAAAATTCATAAAAAATATGATAAAAATGTTGAAATTCGCTTCAAAACTGTTTAAAAGACAGGTTCCTATATCACACCTCTAATTTGACCTTCTACTCACAAAATTTGGTGTCAAATCGACCAAAAGTGTTCAAATAATCATTATTGAGATATATTGAAACGAATCCAGCAAAAATTAGAAGTTTAAAATTTTTTTTCTCAGATATACATGCGCATGTTACGTGCGCATGCATGCGCATACATGCGATTGTCAATTTGGCGAACCCTAGTATTTTTATTGCTATTGGATATTTATTTTTGTTTATTTAAGTCGTAATAAGCAAGTTGGGTCACCCATGTCTCGTAATATCGGAACTATATAAATATTTAAAAACAATATCCACTTATAACATTAAGTTATGACTATTGAGCAAATTTTGTGTCTAAATAAGCAAATTTGTCACCAATTTCAAAACATATTAATCACAAAAAGTTTATTTGAGACGTGACTCATGTAAGGGAAATAATATTACTCTCTTCATTGTTATCAGGGCTTTGCACGTAATTTGATAGCTAAAGCTAAACACAACAAAATGAAATAAAAACCTCTGTATCATAAAACAATTCTCTCTCGAGTAGCAAGCAATAATTCTCGATTGTATTGTCGATATTATCATCAGACTATAGGAAATAATTTGTTGCAGGGAATATTTTGCAATACATGAAATGGAATGAAAACAGTGAAAATAAATAGAATCTCTGATTGAATGGCACTGATAACCGACAATGAGACAAGTGGCTATACACATTCCAATTTTATTTGACACGATATTTCCGAATTGGGGTTTTTTATTTGTTTTTTTTTTTTTTGTTGGAGATTGGAATTGTTTCCGGGGATTTCCGACGTGAATAATTTAAGTGCTATATAAGCCAGGTGATAAGAGCTTTGAAGGGCTTATGGAAATTCGTTTTGATGGGAAAAGTGAGACTTGAAAGACTATTTTTTGAAATTTTAATATTTAACGGTAAATTCTTTGAGAAGTTGTTAACCCCTGTCAAATGTTTTTTAAATTTAAAACAAACGTTATTAATTGGCCAAATGTTTCGAATTTAAATAAACCTTAAGTCGATTCGAATATTCTGCAGCTTCATCATTCAATCTTCAATGTTGACTACCACACAATAAACTATTTTGAGAACTAATCTTAGTCAATAGTAGCGGCATTTTGTTAAATAAATGTCAAAACCAAATGCTAATTTAATATGTCACATAGCTAATAATGCGCGGGATGTTCCTATTTTGGCAAACTCTAAACTATTGAACAAGCTTAAAACATTTTTCAAACTCATTTAACAGTTGTGCAAAAATTTGTTCCGTACCTGATTCATTTGTACTTTTATTGATATCGATTGATGTCTCATGACAGTCTGTTACTGCCTCTGTTGATAACTTTTCATTTTCATCGGAAGATGTGGTTGTGGTGCTGCAAACACTCGGCTGTCCCAGCATCGAATTCGTACACAGAGTATTTTCTGATTCCGCATTTGGTGAGGACACTTCAACCTTCAGATTTTGCAATTTTTTTGTACAAACGGGAAGCAAAATACACAAAATGAGAAAAATAAGAAACAAAAAAAGTGTGTTAATGTCGATGACGGCATAACAGGTAATTGTTTAACTACGTAATGTCAACTAGGTATGGTTGAGGAGACATGAGTATAAGAAGAACTTGACAGCATGTAGGAATGTTTTCATCATTAAATTGACTGACGTATATAAATGAGTTTTTACTATGTAGCATGTTTATGACTACTTTTCCGTTGTTTGATAAAGTACCGATAACATCATAGACAAGTGAAAATCATCCAAAATAAGTAAAACTTTTTCCACATTCTCATGCTGCTCAATCATTTAATTGACATTAAGCAGTTGATTTTAGATTAATTAATTTTATGGCCCATACCTCTGGTATTCGTTGCAATGCACTATCTAAGCTACGATTTCGATGATGTTGAGTCATGTTGATTCGAGTATTGGTCACCTGGGATACTGGAGGAAGGAGAATACCCATAGATCTAGAATGAAAAATAAGAAGGAGAGACATTATTAATTGGTACCAATTAATTTAACTTAATTATCATGATATCATGGTTATAGTCAGAGGTGCGCTTTGATTTCTCAAACAATTAAGGGTTCCTCAAACCCTCAAAAAATGTTCTTTCACAGCTCATTAATTAGATTAAATATGCAGTTTGATACCTCTTAACACAGCAAATTGAGAATAGCATTTTTAATTGAATTTTATGTAGATTAAATTTAAATTAAGTCGAAGAATTTCATGGTTAACTGTGCTTGTTCTTGTGAATTCATTAAACACAATGTAAACTCTTTATAGCGATATAGCGAATTTGGAAGTTTCCTATGAAACCCATGAATGACGCGTACATATTGCAAAGGTCAAATTATTTTCATATTCATCTGTAGAATCGTCTGTCTTTCTAATGAATATGTAAATAACGAAATGATGATATCACATAAAAAAATATGTATATTCAATTAGAATGTCTGAAGCTTTCATTGTAACCATCCGAAATTGCCTTCAAATCAACATCTTGGTCAAGAGAAAATACTTGTTTGATAATGAAAATTGAAATTTCATGATCATTAATATTAAGTCTATGGTTAAATTGCAGGAATTGACTATTGACACAAAACAGATATATTGTCCAATTTAAAATTGAATTCTATTTTCAATGCTTAATTATAAATTATTGAGTTTTAATGAACAATCATGATTATTGCCTAGTTTTACTGACAATTTTTATAAAAAAAAACTTTAATTTTATAACAGTTATTTAATTTTCAAATTTTGATTGGGTTGATATTCTTATTGTAGAAATTTCATCAGAATTTCTAAGGTTAAACTTGTCGAAATTCAAATCATGAAATTTAAATGATTTCCTAAAGTAAATCATTTTGCAAATTGAATTACTAACAGCACATCATTAGATTTACACAATATCTCCTTAATTAAAGTTCTCTTAAAGCTGCAAACTTCAGTGTTGCTTACAAATATTTGCAAACAACAAACCCAACCTCAAAACAACTCGCTAACAGGAAAAAAAATCACAAAAAAGTTCCTCGAACTTTTCCATAACATTATTTCTAATTAATAAAGGAGATCCAGCAATTTTGTGAGTGCAAAACACCATTTCCATTTCTGATTTCTATTCAATTCATCCAACCATTTCAACAAATTGCAAATCAAAAAAGTTTTTTTATTGCTTCTGTCCAACTTTGGCTGAAAGAAAATGAGAGCATAAAGAAAAGTTTTTCCTTTTAGCCATTTCTCGGTTTTTATTTCTTCCCTCACTGTCAATGTGTGTGTGTGTGGATGTTTATAAAATATAAAAGAAGATTAGAGGAAAATATTGTTCATGAAAAACAATAATAAAGCAAGTTTAGTTTAGAGTATAAAAAGTGCTTGAATCATAGAAAATAAAAACGAGGGTAAAGAGTAATATAGCAGAACATAAAAATATGGACATGATTGAAATGATAAAGTAGAAGACGAGAGTTGATTCATATTAATAGATGAATGGTTTCTGATAAATTATTAAACACTACATCAGGAAGGAAAAAATGCATGTTCGACTAGGATTAAAAGCGAGTCAAAGCAGAACTCGAATGTGGGTGAATCATAACGTCGATGAATGAAAGGGAAGTACACACAACCCAATTCCATTTGATGATATTGCCCTACATTTGTCATGCCTTAATGCATATGAATATTGCAAACATGAAGACGCGAGAACATAAAACAATGAAGAAATTACCAGAACAAAAAAAGGAAGAGATGCTTGTCAATAAAAATTGAAAGTCATAAAAATTCTTAAAGCTCTATTTTTGCTATAGGAATAGCTTTACGTATGTTAAACAAATGATATACATGCAAGCAATAAGAATATATGTCTATAAAAAGTAAATAACCTTCACACACAGACCTAAACAAAACAATACCGTGAGCCATAGCTAGCAGTATCTACAAAATCAGTTTATGAATTTTACCACAAATGGTGAACAGAGCTATAAAAGCGCAAGTCGCAAAATTATACGATCCCAACTTGCTCTGCATGGATGTCAGCGTTGGATGGGTGCAACGTGACTAGAATTAAAAATCTTTATGTTCCTGTATACATAATACAAAAATATGAAAAGTACAATGCTTTACTGTTTTTTTGGATGAGAATCAAGAGAGATATATAAAGAGATAAAGAAGCAAGGAACTACACTCATCGGAGCATCAAAAACATGGAAGTTGAAACGAGCAATAAAGAAGAAGAAGGACATTAGAGACTACCACAATTGTTGTTAATATGAACATGAAAATGGCAAATGGTAAAGCCTCTCACGATTGTGTCGCACACAAGTTGATAAGTAAGGGTTCATATACAGTCTCTTAGGTGAATTTTAAAACATAAAACAGACATAATTTTCATTTTCTTCATTATACACAGGAACGAGTTGGAGGTGGTGGAAATGTGTTCATTAACTCTGAATGCTAAGGCACATGTGTAGAGTATAAATCATTTTCCTCATCACATTTTACTACACTGCTCTTTCTAGTATTGAAGAGGTTTTTGTACATTTTTAAGTGAGAGTTGTTTTGGGATGCTAAGATGAGAGGATTTTAAGTTTGTCAATTATGACTGCTGGATTATAAAGATTTTCAGGTTGCTTCATCAGCTGTATTTGGAGCTTAATAGCTATTTCTGATAAGATAATTTTTGAAGTACCTTAAGTGCTGATTAGACATGGATCAAGGCGAAAGAAGTTATATGGCATACATTGTGACTAGGAACAGTTCTGAATCAAACACCAGACATGATGTCTAATTGACAACTAGATCATTAGTCAACACAGCGTCTATATTTTATTAAAATGTCATGATTTTTGATCTAATTGGCAGTAAAACAATTGTAGAGGGTCAATTCAGGCTATACCCTGACTACACCTCTAAAGAGAACAATAGTAAAGTCTCAAAAGAATCCCCAAAACCCACTTATCAGGCAATAAACCAACATTTCCCTTGATAAGTTAAAGAATTGCATCAACATTTAATTATAAATTTACAACAAGTACTCAAATCCACAGACTGACAAAACTTTAAAGACATTTTCTCTCAAAAATAAAGAAAGATTTGAGATCACTTGCTAAATTTGTTGAGATGAGAAATGCGCAAAAAAAAATCATCAAACAAATAAAGACACTTGAGGCAAAATTTCATCTCATTTCTGTTGCAAACAAAATTTTCCATTATTCTGTGTACCAAAGCTGTGTACAAACAGGAAGGAATCGAATGGAAATTTATCTTTACGTAAATGAAGCAAAAGAAAAGGCACCAACATAAATTTGCTCCGTGATTATTCCTTAAATAATAGAATATTTATTACAGCAATGTCCAAATGTGACGTCTTGTTCCGTGCACAAATGATCCACGACTTCCATAATAAATATAATGAAATTGAATAGCAAGGCACTTAGGGAAAATTGGGTTATTTATATTTAAACATTAGTGAAGATTTTTCATCCATATTTTTCGACAGAATTTTGATGAGTTTATTTTTTGCCATCGCAAATGAGACGAAGGAGCTTGAAGATGCCTCACGTCATTATTTTGTCATTTCTTCCCATAATAAAAACAAAAACACTCTGTATACTATTATCATCTTCGTCATCTTATATATAACAAAACAGACAATATTGAGTGTATTCAAGACCATATGTGACATCGTCAGTATAGAAAAAGATCATCAATGACAGTCACTAAAGATGCGACATATTTTTTCTTGTTTATTTCTAACGACTTACAATGCTTTATGATGATGGAAAATTCGGGTCATTTATTAAAGGAATTTGATATGATTTAAGAAATCAGGCAAAATCTTTTGATGACAATGCCTCTTAATGATGTCTAATAAGATGAAGATTTATATTTGGAAGCAGTCAAGAGGAAGAACTGAACAATAGGAAAGAAGTTTCAGTTACATTGGAAAATTTTCATTTTTTCCATCAACTAGTTTTGCTCCTCAAACAAAGTTTTTTGTAAAAAGTTCATGCTCTTCATTCCTTCTCACGTTTCCACACCATAACTCAGCTCTTTCAATTCTTTTTTTCTGCTTCACAGTTTTTTGATGAATTTTCAAAGTTTAGAAGCAGTTTCAAAAAGCTAGATTGGAGCTTTTTTGTACCCCATTTTGGTTGGTTGACTTGTTGGAACTCAATGCTAGGTAGATGGTATCAGGAAGATTGTAAATATTTGTAATGAGACGGATCAGACACAAAATGCAAGCCTTTTAACTCGATTGGTATAGATTTGATCATATATGGTTAAAAGTCAGCTGAATAAACCATGCTTGAGTCATATTTATCAATAAGTTCAAACAATACTACTATATTAATTTGAATCCATACGAAGTTTCGAACTCAAAAGGATTCTAAAATGATATCTTTGGTTATTTTGTCTCCTTAGCTAGTTGCTAAGACGGATAGTAACCCTTTTGATAGTTTGACAAAGCAATCACAGAAAAAGCTTATAGAAGCAGCTGTTATAGCTTAATTAAAGCCTTCCAATTTACAATGGATCAACTGGGAATAATCATCAAGGTTAGAACCGATTGTTTCTGAGTTTGTGATCTGCATCCATTAAAATATTAAGAATTGTTGATAGTATCTTACAAACAAGAAAATGCGCTTTAATGTTTCACACTAAGGACCTTGCAACTTGTTTCCATCATCATCCTTCTTCTTATTCTGTTCTACTTCCCAAATCAACGTGCAAAATGAAAGAAAAAGGTCGAAAATATATTTTATGATCAAAAGAGCCATAAATAGAAAATACAGAATCGATCATATAGAAAAAAATAACTTGATAAATAAGAAATAAAGCGGATCGAACAAATGTGAGATTCAGAAGTGACGTAGAGTGGGAAATATGAGACTTTCAAATATTGTATACCTTCAAATCAGCAGCATTTCAAAAGTATTAAATTAGCACAAAATATAAGTTTTTTTC